AAAAAACCGTCAGAGACGCTCTAAAGTGTTCAGAAACGAAATTATCAGATCTGATTAATCCTAAATAAATACCAAGGGTGTAATTATTGTTGGATAAATGAGAATATTTTTGAGCTCTCATATCAAACATCCCTACCTATATATTAATTCAAAACGTGTTGAGGTTAGGTGGTAGATTTTTAATCTTCGGATGCTGACATGGCGAAAATTTATGCTTCGTAATGTTGTTTTTATATTATTTTTGTTCTGAAATTAGGTTTGGTATTAGACATAAATAACTTTACACATATGTTCATTAACTTAATATCCAAATTCAAGTAATTGGCAATTCACACATTTCAAGGTGCTTGCATAAAATGGACAAGGAATTTTTTCAAGAAGACAAGTCGAGGTTGCACGGTAGGATGTAAATACTGGCGAGTGGCAGTGGTCTCTACTTTTTCAATAAAATCATTCCTTTGAATATTATGGTTTTTTAACTATTGTACACTTAGTTGGAATAAAGTAAACTAGAAGAAATAATCAAGTAAAGTTGTATTTATAATAAATTAGTGCTTTCTGAATGACACGACTCCGTGGCCCAATGGATAAGGCGCTGGTCTACGGAACCAGAGATTCTGGGTTCGATCCCCAGCGGAGTCGCTGTCATTTTTTTTTTTTCTGTATTTTTTGTTAAGAAAACCTCTCTATGCATGTTTTTAAGATCGGGCTAATATATGCAATATTTTTTTTTCGTTAAGAAATCTCTGTGCATGTTTTTAGTAACTGGCGAAGGGGTTATATACATATATGCAATATTTCTTATTTATTTTGAGGAAACAATCGTAAAATTGACTTTGTAAAAACTAAATGTGGTGTTAATTTTAAAATTGATTGTATAAAGGAGTTGTGTGCAACATCAACATAGTTTACCTTAAATGAGATTATTATTAGTTTATTATGAGATTATGATTTACGATTTATAATTGAAAAGCTAGCTGACATGATAAAAGTGATTTATAACTTATAAGTGAATTTTGAACTTATAGTTTATGGCTAAAAAAACTAACAGACATGGTAAAAGTATTGGGTTAATTTACTGATAAACCGGTTGAAATAAAAATTTCAAATGACTTATTTGAAAAGCTTCCTAAAGAAGCATATAAGATAGACTCGAGTTTTTTTTAGAAAAACTCGTCCTACCAAACTAAAACTTATTTGAATACAATAAACTTATAAGCTAACAATTAAGCTATAAACAAACTTATAGTGCTTACCAAACATTCTATATCATCATTACAATTTATTCTTTTTACCATAAGTGAGATTATTCATCATTAGTTTACTATGAGATTTTATCATCATTTCAATTTATTCTTTCTTTGCTTTATTATGGTGTATATATGGTAATGGGTTTTATCTTTTAATCTTTTTTGAGTAAGAGAGGTTAAGAAATGTGTGATATTGTGATTGGATGGTAGGATAACAATGATAGATGCCATAGATTGCTCGCTTTGATAGTAGATGGACTAAGATGGATGGGTACAAAGAAGTGGTGGCCAATGCCTGGGGATTGCCAATGGAGGGCCCTCTGCATTTACTCAGTGCAGAAAAGGATTAGAAATGTTAGAATAACAATTCTCAGCTGGAAAAAAAGCCATTCTACCAATTCTGCCAAAGCCATTAATGTGCTCAAAGATCAGTTAGAGAACTTAGAAGTTCAAGGGGGAATAAGGATTGGGAGGAGTGGCTTAAATGCAAGACTAGTCTCCAGCAAGCATACTCAGATGAGAAAAATTATTGGAGAACTAAGTCTAGATTGTTGTGGCTTAGAGAATGTGATAAGAACACCAAGTATTTCCAAGCTTAAGTAAAGCAAAGGAGACTCTTGAATAATCTTGAAAGCCTTCATAAGTATGATGGGACTACTGTAATTCTGTCCAAAACATTGTTAGAGAGCTTATGTCTTACTTTGGTGAGCTCTTTACTTCTTCTAATCCTGATATTCATGCTTGCCCTTTGGAAAATATCCCTATTACCATATCAGAGGAGATGAATGTTGATTTAACCAGAGAAGTGGAGGAGTAGGAAGTAAAGTTAGTTGTCTTGGATATGGACCCTTGTAAAGCCCCTGGTATTGATGGTATGACAATCTGCTTTTTTCGAACTTCCTTGGATATTCTGAAACACCACCTTGTCCCAACTGTAGCTAATTTTTTCCATAATTGTAGGATGCCTAGAGAAGTTAATCACATTGTCCTCACCCTTATCCCTAAAATAGCTAATCCCAAGTTTGCTATTGATTACAGACCCATAGATTTATCCACTGTGACCTATAAAATTATTGCAAAAATTTTGGCAAACAGATTGAAGTCAGTGCTATCTTCTTGTATATCTCCTTTTCAGTCTGCTTTTGTCCCTGATTGACAAATCATTGATAATGCAATTATTTCAAATGAGTGTATCCACTTCCTAAACAGTAAAAGAAAAGGCAAAAAAGGTTTTATGGCTGTGAAACTTGATATGGCCAAAGCATATGATAGGGGGGTGGAGTGAGATTTTTTGGGTAGAGTCTGTAGGGCTATGGGTTTTCGTACTACCTTTGTGAACTGGATCATGACTTGTGTGCAAATAAATTCATTTTCTTTTAATATAAATGGGCAGCCTCTGGGCTATTTAACTCATTCTCTGGGAATCAGGCAGGGAGACCCTTTGTCTCCCTATCTGTTCATTATATTATCAGAGGCTCTGTCCAATATTCTGGTCCATTCTTCTAATAGAGGTGAGTTTAAAGGATTGAAAGTGGGTAGACAAGCTCCAGCTATTTCTCACTTATTTTTTGCCGATGATGTTGTGTTATGTTGTCAGGTGCTCAGCTTCTTAAATTGCTTCATTTGTATGGTACTGCTTCTGATCAAATGGTTAATATGTCCAAATCTTCTATTTTCTTCTCTAATAATCTTTCTGATAGAACCAAGGCTGAGATCAACAATATTCTGACTGGGATTTCCATTTTTAATTCTGCTAATTATCTAGGGACCCTGGGTATAGTTAGAAACAAGAGAGATACCTTTAATTACATTTTTGAGTGTGTGAGAAAGAGGACCAGTAACTGGAAATTCCTTTTTGAGTGAGGCAGGGAGAGAGATTTTGATTGAAACTATTCTTGATGCCCTTCTTAAGTATGTTATGTCATGTTTTAAAATTCCAGTTAGTATCTGTAAGGACATTTATAGGATTAAAGTTGAGTTTTGGTGGGGGAAAAACGAGGAAGGTAAAGGGAAAATTCACTGGGTGGCTTGGGATCTAGTGGCTAGGCCTAAAGACAAAGGGGGGTTGGGATTTAGAAACATCAGAATTTTTAATAATGCTCTAATAGCTAAACAAATATGGAGAATTTTAAATCAACCTACTTTGTTGATGAGTCAAGTCATTAGAGGGAGATATTTGTGTGATAATAATTTGTTTAATGTGGTTCCTAGGCAGGTGGATTCTTGGTTGTGGAAGAGTTGGTTGGGGGTGAGAGAGCATTTTAGGGCTGGGTGTTGTTATCAGGTGGAGATGGGAGATCTATTCACATATGGGATTCACCTTGGCTTTTGTCTAATTCTAATCATATTCTTGAGGGTACTTCCCAGACTGACAGGGGAAGACTTAAAAGAGTTCAAGACTTGATCAATCTAATGGGAGAGAGTGGGACACAGCCCTCATCCTGCAGAATTTCAATCAGAGAGATGCAGAATTAATTCTTCAAGCTCCTATCTCAGTTAGGGGACAGAGAGACAGACTCCTTTGGGTTTATAACAACAAAGGCAGGTTTTCTGTGAAATCTGCATACTCAGCATTCCTATCTAAGAGTCTTCAAACTAGGAAGGATGTTGAATCAAGCTCTAACAAGGAGAAACTTCAGAAAATGTGGAGGTTCACTTGGAAACTCCCCATTAAACCTAAGGTAAAAAAAACTTCTTGTAGAGGTTGTGGTTCAATAGTCTTAGTACTAAGACTCAGTTGAATAGGAGAGGGTTGGATGTTGATGGAATTTGTGAATTATGTGGGGAGGCAGATGAAGATATTAACCATTTATTGTTTAGGTGTGATAGGGCTAATGTTTACTGGAAGCTTAGTGGGGTTTATTGGGAGGAAACACAACTTCCCAATTGTTCCTTTCAAAACCGGTGGGTAATATTTGCACAACAGGGTCTTCAAAAGCCATCATTGACAGAATAAGTCTATCATCTTATTTAATGTGGTGACTCTAAAAGACTAGGAATAATTGGGTATTTATGAAAAAGAGGATAGGAGAAAGGTAGTTGGTTGAAGGGGCCAAGATGGAATGGTTGGAATTTAGGGGTCTATCTGTGCAAGGGGTAGCTGATAGGTTGATCTCGGTTAGAGCTAGACATTATAGTGAAAGAAATTTTTCTCTTGGGGTAGGACATGTGTGTGTTCATGTCAGTGCTTCCACATTCTCCACCATGCAGATCAAGCTCAAAGCTGTGGCCATTAAACAGAACCAAGTTATCCAGATATTAGAAGATGAGGTTTCTAAAGGGGGGAGTAGGGATAACATTGCACTTTCAGCCATCAGGTGGGCCTTGGAAAAATCAGTGAAGGAAGGCTGGAGGAACATTGTCTGCTGCTTTCACCACAAGGAAATCATCAAGCTACTGTCTCGTAATAGAGAGTTTAATTTTCAGGTTCATGTTTTAGCTGTAGACATCGCCTTATTGGCTAAACTCTTTGATTCTTGTTCTTTTCTTCTAGTTGTGCCTGTGTGTTATGATTGTTGTGTATTGTGGATCCTTGTGCTGTTAGGAAGGGTGTGATCATCCAACCGAGTTGATAGGCTAGTGTGACAGTGCTATTGGCTGTGTATTTGTTAGTGTATCTGTTTGTACTTTGTGGTTGGTTGTTATAATATTTGTTGTTGCCGTTGGAAAGTATATATATATATATTTATAGATGTCATAGATTGCTTTATTGTGATTGGATGGTAGGACAACAACGATTTGGGTAGTTTTTCAAATAAATTCGTAGAAAACTTTATTTCAGCTAGCTTATCAGCTAATTTTACGAAACACTTTACCACATAAGCTAACTTTTCTAGCTATAAGTCAAAAGCTACAAGCTATAAGCTTAAAAATTGCTGATAAACTATAAGCTATCAGCTAGCTTATGAGTTAATTTTACCAAAACATATCCTTAGAAGAAAAAGGAGGTTATGCGTTTTGACCCGTAAATTAAGTCATTAGAATAAAACAATTTTATCCTACCATAGTCGTATATGATCAATTATGTGCAGGTTTATAATTTTATATGCCATACTTACATACTTTGTAATATTTGTTAAAAATTAGATATTAAAAATTGGGAGTGACCTGATTTTAACTGGTTCTTATGTGTAAATATTTAATCCAGGTTGAACTAAATTGTGTGGAAAAATTATACTTTCCGAGAAGATACCCGTGGTACATTTATTTTCTCAAAATTGATTTTTGATGAGTGAGAAATAAATAATTAGCAATTAATATGCGACGTAAAACGTTGATTGTGGTATTCGAAAGATCAATAGTCTTATCCAACATTGCACTCTTAATGAGGATAATTCTCTTTAATAAAGAGAGTCGAAGAGGTCGCAACAACTAAAGTTATGCACCAATTGTTGGTGTTAGTTTTGGCCACAAGTGTGTGCCAACCCTCCCCCCAAAACACACACACACACACACACACACTCACAGAGACACACACAGTTGGCCAACTCAGCTCACCTCGGGTATAGGCTTGGATTTGGGCCTTGGATCTTGGACCTTAGTCCTTAGTCCTTGAGAATTTGGTTGTAGGCTAGACGTGGGCTGCCTTGGAAAGTCTAAGTCGTTGTTGGGTTTGGGCTCATCCCCTATAATTGTTTTGCTTCAAAATTATTTGCAATGTTCAAGACAAAAATAATTGAGTTGGATTTAGATTCTGGTTTGGATTAAACTCGTGTGACCTTCACTAGGTTTATTGAACTTGGACATATTTGACTCCACCTACAATTTATGTAGTTATAAGGAGTGATGATGTGTTAACAACTGAAGACGGCTTAGCCTTTTTATGCCCATTACAACATGCAAGACTGGTGTGTTACCGGCCTTTAGTGGCAACTAACCATTTTGCCTTCCTTGCCTGGAAAACCTATAAATAGGACAAGGTAGAGCTGCAGAAGTACACACAACAACATCATATGCATACTTTCTTTCCCAAAAAGTCTCATACATCATAACATACTCAGTACTCAACTCCAATCAAGTTCGCTAGAGCTCGACAGTCTTCTTCTGCAACATATCCGTTGTTTATTTGGATACGATATGTCTGAATCCATCAAGGCATATCCTTCTTGTGGAAATGAATCTTCTCACCTTAGCTTTAATCTTTCTGAATCCATCAAGCATATCCTTTTTGTGGAAATGAATCTTCTCACCTTAGCTTTGATCTTTTTGCTTTACGTTTGCAATTTCACTTTCTATTTTTCAATTCACAATGTAAGAGTTAAAAAAATATCACTTCAGTTCATATACACTATCCATTTTATAACAATATTATAGTTGGTGTTTGATAATAACCGCTTTGAGTTAAAAATCAGAATTTTTTAAACTCAATTAAAGAATTGATCAGCCAAATCCTTTGTTTTAGATTATAAGAGCAGAATTTTAGCAACCAATGCATAGATTTTTGTCTACGCAGCACGGCACGCCTCACGAACACCAAATGAACGCAAGTAAACTTTTGTACAACATAATTTGACGTAACCAACACAAAACAAATTCAAAGATGCAGTGCCTACTAACAAAATTTCAGACTCTTGTGCATAGTTCGCAGAATATAACTGCAGGGTAGGCCACTTTATTATTTCGGCGAGCCTAATAAAAAACGATCGATTATAAATGTTACAACGGAACAAGAGACAGATAGAGTTAAGAGTTGCTGCTAAAATATTGCAACTTTACATTGTTTCTATTTGCTCTAATATTTGTTTGTCCCTACCTAAGTCCCTACCTCATTCCTTCAAATGCTGTGAAGAAAATATACATCATATATTATGCTTTTATTTGGATTAACAACAAACAATAATAAAATGTTCCACCATTCAAGAGGGCATTTGATGGCATGTTTACCCAACAATAATCTTTAAAGTTACGGGCGAAAATTTCCAGGTAAAAGGCAAACATAAAGTAGTATCGTTTAACTCACTGCTCAATTGTACGGAACTCCCATTTTCCCTCTCCGTCAATTAACCGCAACTCCACAGAGTGGAATGGTATCAAAGCAGGTCGCTGAAAAAAAAAAAGGAAAATAAAAGAAAAGAAAAAGAAAAGGAGATATGTCAAACAACGTTTAGTTAAAATATTACACGAGTTTATCACAAGAACTGATTCAGTCTGTTCACAGAAAAACCCATCTATCTTACAAAATTACAAAAATCACCTTTGGCATTTTGCTTTTCAATTCCATATGCACTTCAAGAGAAGTACATAAATATCAAACTTTAAAGAGGGTGTTTGTGATACTAAGTGGCGTATCGGTTATATTAAAATATAGCTGGAGTTTTGGTGATTAGGTAAGTATACGGGGCAGTTTATGGTGATTAGGTAAGTATACGGGCAGTTTATGTGATTATCCATAATTAATAGCCCAACAGCAGCACTCACAAACTACAAGTAAAATTTTAACATATATTAGCTTAAAAAGCATGAAGCAAGAAAAAGTGAAAAAGGCAAGATAATCGACAAATTAGCCAACTCTGTACCTGGGAGGATGTTATAACAGTAATATCTGAGTCTCTTGCAAGCCTGTAGAGGTGCTCCTCTACATCAACACTCGTGGCACTGCATTATAAAGAAACAACAATTGAAAGCTAGGTTAGTGCAATGACACCCAGGTTAATTAGAAAAGCCACTGCGATTTAGCTTTAATTATATATAATAAGGCCCAGTTATCTTTCGACAATACAAAATGCACCCCCAATAACAGGGGCATTTGTAGTTTCCATAGATAACTGGAGTGTTTTGCAGTTAAAAGTAACCTAATGACAGTTTCTGTTAGTATCCCTAACGTCAATATGGTTTCATCTCCTAAATGAAAAGAAAACGAGAATAAGATTTTTTTTCATTACTTGGTGCATTCGTCGAGGACTCCGAATTGGGGCTTGTGAAAGAACAACCGTGCCTTGTAAAATAGTAAATATAATGTCAATGAATAGAGCACAGTTCCTTAAAGTAAGTACATTGTCAACATAGATGCCGAAAATCATGTGCAAGTACTAAGTAAGTGAACGTACCATGCCCAGACGCTGTTGCTCCCCAAGAGATAAAATGTCTTCCCAGTTCTGGCAAGTATCCCATCCACCTTCTCTTTCCAAAAGATATTGTAGTTTAACATTTTCCAGAACAGTTTTTAGATGAGAATCCAAGATGTCTGTTGAATCAGAGGATACTATACCTATTTTCAGAAATCAAAGCAAATAAATTCAGAGTATATAAAAACTCGAGTTGCTTACACAATGACAACAAGCTTCATGGTTACTCTATGCTGTTTTCACAGTTTAGCTAACAAAAATCTTCATCTTTAGTATTACTAAACCACCAAAAAGTATTATCTGGCAAGATATATAATAAATAAATAAATAAACAACAAAAAACACATACAATGATTAGTGGACCGGGGGGTGGAGAAGGATTCATAAAGTAATTACAAATCTCAACAGAATAATTTTCATTTTAAATTATGAGTTTCGGTCCTTTTCTGTTTTCATTTTTCTTCATTTTGTGTGTGCTCCAGGCGCAACTAAACTTTCCTACGCATTCCCAGTTTCAGTTAAAGATAATTATTTTGTTCGTGGAAGTGCATTAATTGAAGTTGTAATTCTTCTCTCTGTCAGGGAAATCATATACAGAACAAAAGATTTACATGTTCAAAATGAGTTAGAAACCATGGAAATACCAAGCACATTTACCTTCTTTGATCAACGGTAAAGTCCTTTTCTCAGCTTCGCCACGAGAAAGAGGATATATTATCTGATCTCTAAGAGTCCCCAAGCATGTATATGGCCGCTGGGGCACATAAAAGAGACGAGACCCAGATTCATAACCAAATTGCTGTTGAGGCCTAATAAGTCTTCCATTGACAGCGGGCCAAAGCCCACGAAGGACTCTGAAAATCGAACTCTTTCCACTTCCATTTGGACCTTAAAACCAGGAAAAAAATGTCAAATAGTCAAATCTAATAACGTTACGAATATAATGAATCTCATGTTTTACGAGGACTACAAAAAGTCCGACGGGACAATCTACTCACCTGTAACAAGAAGGCTTTTCCCGGGCACAATATCACACGTTAATTGTCGAGCCAAAAGTTTTTGAGCCGGTGTAATGATATCCACCTTAGAGAAGGAGATAATATCATCTGATTGGAACTCCGTGCTCAAGGGTCCTGAGGAAAAATCTGCTGACATAAAATTCTGGTCAGGCTCATCATATACCTTGCGGAAATACAAGAATTGAAACTAATATAATGTAACAATGAATACTAGCTAAAAGTGCAGAAACACCTAACTCAGTGAATAATAATAGACAAGCCACCAAAGCCTCGTATCACACCAATAAGTGCTCAAATCCAACAAGCTATTGACATGAATACTACAAGGCACTTTTTCATCAATCGCAAACTTACAGAAGATAAATCAAATTTGGCACATAAGAGGTGGCTTCCCAGCACCTCGGAGAATACAAGAGAATCACAATATATTATAAACTATTGCATGAACCCTTTTAGTCCTATCCAGCAAGTGCTGGAAAACATGCGTTAGAGGACACTTTCTATATATTAGTGTACAAGCAAAGGAAGGTAAGTGACAATATATTGTCATGTAAGCAAAAATAAGGTACCCTTATGCTCTGCAATCCCACAAGAAAAAATGTCACAAAGTCCCACCATTTTAAATTTCAAGCATTTAGCAAAGGTTTTCTCATTGGAAGCTCTTTCCTCGAATTATAGAACTTTTAAGCAGACATTGAGCAGCTTGAGATTAACGATAACTTCCGGTGGCCTTTGTTTTTGGAAATTCATAAAGTATTGAATCAGTATGAGCAAGGACTTCGAAGAATCCCAACATCCAAATTCAATATCTACCACTATTACTTGGGTACCCTGCAACTATGTCATCTTTCAGAGGCAGCACATGAATCTAAATTGTCCCACCTAACTTCACTATTGATGATGGTCACACCCTAGTTTAAAAAGGATCCAAACTAAGTTCAACATCGGTAGAATTTTAATATTGTAAATTAGAAGATCCACAATGGCCACCAATTCAGTAGTAATCATTTTAAAATAAGATGGTAGAAAAAGAATAAGACAGCTCATCTTCAGAAACATATAAATCTTGCGAAGTAAAGTAAAAACTTATCGAACACAATCACCTACATTACTTGGATAATTGAAACCTCATCCTTCTAAGAATATTAGTTGCAATTAAATATTCTATTTAGAATATTGTTCTTAAACATCCCTAGTGAATGACAATATTAATTTTCCATACCACCAAAATTATATCACATGAGATGCTTCTCAGAAAATAAAGAAAGAGAACACACCATGTTGAGCAGCATCTAGAAGCTCCTCAAGTTCAAAAATGCGATTAATACCCCCAGAAAGCTCCAGAAACTTCCTATGCAGCTCAAGAATATCGCCGAACGCCAAAAAGCTTTGAGATACAACAGATGCTAAAAATCGTAGTGCATGTGCCAGTTCACCTGAATATGGTTTTGACCAGTAAATAACCTTGTAGCAACAAGATTTAGCAACCATTAATTGAAAATTTCAGAGAATAGCCTTCACCTTGAGTTGAAGTTGAAGCTCGATCACCTTTGTGTTCCATGGCATACAACAAGCTCAATCCCCAGGTTACATTGTGCGGAAGCTGCTTTGTAATGAAATCGTCTATAATACCAAACAGCCATTTCTTCTTAAGGAACAACTTTGTATGATTAAAAAGGTCTCTAAACCTCGATTCAATCATCTGAAATTAAACAGAATAACTATTAGATATAAGGAGAGACAAAGTAAGCAAGGCAGTTGAACATGATAAATGGGCCTGAATAGATAGAACTCATCCCAAAAGGAAGCTCAAACCAAAAGCTAGCTCAAACGAAGAGGGTGCTCAACCCACACTTATAAAATAACAGCCCAATAACTAATCGATGTGGGATAAACATAACTTCTAACACCCGCCCTCATGCGCAGTGTGCTAAACCAAATGGTACAGGTCCAAACCCAGCATCACCTTCAAGAAAACCCGGATGCTCCGTTACCCTGATAAACGGGCTCAGGTAGAACTCATCTCTAAAGCTAGTTCACAAGGTGAGGGTGCCCAACCCACACTTGTACACAATAACTAATTGATTGGGACAAAACCTAGTTTTTGCCTAGTGAGGTTACATCCAAAATCAACTGATGATACAAGGAGTAGCCTACTAGGCTTATAAAATAAGGTTCATTTTCCCTATTTAACCAATTTGGGACGATTCACAAGTGATATTCCAACATGTCCCCTCACTTGTGAGTTCTTCAATTGTACCAGATCAGGCTCGATTAGCGCCCTAGATCAGGCTTGCTCCAATAACATATTAGATTTTATACATTGGGGGAAGGGGTGCCGTCCCCTAGGTGGTGAAACACACATTTAGAGGAGGGCTAGCTTAGTTGTCTCCTAGTGAAGTTCCATACCTAAACCAATTGGTGGCACATTAGACTTATATACTAGGTTCATTATTCATAGCTAATGAATGTGGGACAATTCACAAGTGAGATTCCAACAGAACATAGTCCAATTACCAAAACATGAGTATATAAACTAGTGAGAATCAGCAGTAATTCAGTTGAATATCTATCTCAGCCTCAAGAATATACACAAGAACAAGGACTTTAATACCAGAGTTTTGAAGCTTAATTCCAATAGCTCTTGGAAATTATTTAAAAAAA